GTATGACCCAGCAACCTCTCTTCAGGGTACCTACCCAAAAAATTTGAAAACCTTTACTTGCAAAGATAAATGCACCTCTAGCCCAGCCCAGGTGGCTCAGTGGTTGAGCTTTGGCCCATGAACCAGGAGGTCACGGTTTAAAAAGGCATCTGTGATATACACGCCCTGTTTTCGTTGCAGCATTATTCACTGTGGCCAATGCATGGAAACAACCCAAGTGTCCCTCAATAAATTACTGGATAAGATGTGGTACATACATAAAATGGAACACTACTCAGTCATAAAAGATGAAATACTGCCATTTGCAACAATGTCATGCCAAGTGAAATAAGTCAGACAGAAAAAGTCAAGAACCATTTGATTTCAATATATGTGGGATATAAAACTGAGAACAACAAATGAACATACAAGAACAAACAGAAACTCATAGGCACAAACAACAGTATAGTGGTTACCAGAGAGAAGGAGGGGTTGAGGAGGTAGTAGAGGATAAAGGAGGTCAAATATATGGTGACAGAAGTAGATTTGACTTTGTGTGGTGGGCACACAATGCAATATCCAGATCATGTATCAAAGAAATATACACTTAAAACCCATATAATGTCACCCCAATAAATTTAATGGGGGGGGGAGAATTCAAACATTACCATATTTTGGCACCCCCCCATGTGCCTCTACCAGTCATATCCATATCCCTCCCCTTCTGTTACAAATTTTGTCCTTCTTTTCCTGTTAGTCTTGCACTACACATATATATATCCCTAAAATATTCTATTCTTTGAAATTGCTATAAATGGTATCAAACAATTCTTATTTTGGTGACCTTATTTTTTTAATTAAACATTATTTTTTATATTCATACATGTTGCTAAGTATAGCTGTCATTAATTTCTCTTATTGATTCTGTTATTACACACAGATGAGTTTTCAACATTATTTTTGAACAGTCTCTAGGGTTTAATCTAAGGTAGAATTTCTAGAACATACAGTCTTCCCATCGTCTTCAACTTTTAAAGTTAATGCCAAATTGTTTTCCAAAATGGTTATACCAATTTACACTACCACTAATGTGTTACTGTTCTTCTATATCCATAAAAATATTGAGTATCATCTGTCTAATCCCTATCACCAGTCCTCACCTTCATTCAGTTTTTCATAGCAAATGCAGTGGAAATTAATATTACCATATATAAGCTTATTCTATACTGAAAAATCTTCAAATATTCTTTACTATCTACTAACTAAATCATAAATTAGGCCTTTAAATTTCCTCTAATCTTTTCCAACCTGCCTTACCAAACTTACCTAATACTACTAGTATTCTCCTCTATGATCCTTCTGTTTTAATTAAGCTGGTTTACACTTTATTGCTTCAATACTTTTACTCATGGCATTCCAGTTTCCTCTCCCTTACCTCTGCATGTTCAAATTCTACTGTCTTTTAAATTCTAATCCAAAAGCTATTTTCTTCTAAGAAAGCCATCTCTAATCTCGATTCATGTTAATTACTATCACACTTTACCAAGTATATTCTTTTAGACTTACCATTTTCTATCTTGTACAAAAATAATTATCTATTAAACATGTACTATGTTCATGCTCTGCTAAACATTTTGATTCATAATTGCTAATTTTCCTACTAACAGTACATGGAAGACAGATAATTTCATCCCAATGTAACACAGCTGATAAACTGCAGAAGCTGTATCTTTTTTTTTTTAATATTTTATTGACTTTTTTTTTTTTACAGAGAGGAAGGGAGAGGGATAGAGCGTTAGAAACATCGATCAGCTGCCTCCTGCACAACCCCCACTGGGGATGTGCTTGCAACCCAGGTACATGCCCTTGACCGGAATCGAACCTGGGACCCTTCAGTCCGCAGGCCGACGCTCTGCCCACTGAGCCAAACCGGTCAGGGCCAGAAGCTATATCTTGTATTACTAGGTTTGTTTGATTTCAAAGACTTCCCTTTCTACCATACTGCACTGTCCTGTGGTTTTATTAAATCATTAATATTAATTGTTTAATTAACATACATACCCAATTTGTTCTACAAAGGGTTTAAGACATATATTTGTCTAAATATATTAATGTCATTCTTTCTATCAAAATATTATCTGAGCCGGGGGATAGGGGAGGCTGGGAGGAAGGTCAATGGGGAAAAAAAGGAGACAGATGTACTACTATTTGTAATACTTTAAAGTTACAATAATAATAAAAAAATAATGTAAAAAAATGATCTGAAATAGCTTAAAAAATAAGGGGAAAATCATACATAGTCAATAAAAGAAAGCAAATATGCTAACCATATACGTTAACATGGTTGTTTGGACTGTACATAAACTTTGATAGTCAAGGCAATACAGGAAAACATTAAATCAATGCCAGAAAAGAAGAAACAAGTACTTCAAGGGCAAACAAGGATTACCCATTACCAAGTTGAAAATAGATTTTCATGTGGAATTATGTTAGTGTTATTAACCAACCTTACTTCTGCATTGGAGTAAACTGTTCTTAAGGGTCTGACTTTTTGTGCCCTATAAAACAATACAGATGTTTAATTTGTGGAATGACTGAATTTATCAGTCTTAGGAAACAAAGAGATAGCATCTATTGAAGAGAATGACAAGATGGAAAACGGGCTTTTAGAATTTGGAATAGCCTCTGTAGGTGTTTTTCAAAGTCAGAAAGAAATGAATCAAAAGTTTTTTAAGTAGAAATAAGGATACGGTAAAAGTTAGACAGTAATGATTTTGAGAACAGAACATTAGTACTGTTTTTCAGCAATATCTGGCAGCCCACAAATTAATGGTGGTGGTGAACATACAATATAGCATACAAATTATGTGTTGGGGTGGTGAACACACAATTGTGTGCAGAATCTTTCAGTTTCCTGAATATTCAGTCTAACTAAAGCAGTGGTTCTCAACCTTCTGGCCCTTTAAATACAGTTCCTCATGCCGTGACCCAACCATAAAATTACTTTCGTTGCTACTTCATAACTGTAATGTTGCTACTGTTATGAATCAAAATGGAAATGTCTGATATGCAGGATGGTCTTAGGCGATCTCTGTGAAAGGGTCGTTCGACCACCAAAGGGGTCGCGACCCACAGGTTGAGAACCACTGAACTAAGTAAGGCCTTTCCTAATTTGGGGCCTTTGTTCTTGCAGGGAATAAAAGAAAACCAAGAAAGAAAGGGGAAAGCGTTCATGTATAAGATAAAGAACAGATTCATAGTTTAAGAGAAAGTAAGACAGAAGACTAGCTGTTAGGAACAGATTTATAGGTCTCTATATGATATTTAAAAGAAAATCCTCACTGAGGATGGTTTTCTTGACTTTGGGGGGCGAGGGGAGAGAAACATCGATTGGTTATCTCTCATACACATCCAACCAGACATCAAACCCGAAATCTAGGTATGTGCTCTGACCAGGAATCAAACCACAACCTTCTGGTATTTTGGACAATGCTCCAACCGAGCCACCTGGACAGGTGAGATACTTTTTTTAAAACAGTATTTTAAAAATGTGAATGACAAGAAAAATAGAGACAAACTCAGATAGAGAGCAGGCTGACAATTGTGGGGGAGGGGGCGGTTAGGAAACTAGTGAAGGGTGGGGGGATTGAGCAAAAATGAAAAAATCCAACAGTGTGATTGCCAGGAGAGGGAGGGGGTGGGAAAGGTGTAAAGGTATAGGGTGGATAAATGGTGATGGACAGAGACTTCACTTGGGGTGGTGAACACACAACACAGTGTACAGATGATGTGTTGTGGAATTGTGCCCCTGAAACCTCTATAATTTTATTAACTAGTGTAACCCCAATACATTCAATACAAAGGAAAAAAATAAAAATGCGAATATCATTCTTTGCTTGTGGGCCTTATAAAAACATACTAACCAGGTTTGACTTGTCTGCAATCCCTGATCTACAGGATAAAATTCTAACTTATTTTCATATAAACAGACCTCAGTATTTCTTAGATGCAGAATTTTTCAGTTTCATGAATATTTCCTCTAAGGCAGTGGTTCTCAACCTTCTGGCCCTTTAAATACAGTTCCTCATGCTGTGACCCAACCATAAAATTATTTTCGTTGCTACTTCATAACTGTAAGGTTGCTACTGTTATGAATCGTAATGTAAAAATCTGATATGCAGGATGGTCTTAGGCAACCCTTATGAAAAGGTCGTTCAACCGCCAAAGGGGTCGCGACCCACAGGTTGAGAACCGCTGGTCTAAGGCCTTTCCTAACTCTGGGCCTTTGTTCTTGTAGTTCCCTATGCTTTCTCCAATTCTCAGCTTACAGAGTTATATTCATTCATCATTCAAAGTCCAACCCAAATGTCACTTTTTTAAAATAATATATTTTGACTTTCTGAGATAGAGAGGAAGGGAGAGGGATAGAAACATCGATGAGAGAGAAACATTGATTAGCTACCTCCTGCACGCCCTCCACAGGGACTAAGCCCATAACTTGGGCACGTGCCCTGACCGGGAATCAAACCAGTGGCCTCTTGGTTCCTAGCTCAATGTTCAACCACTGAGCTACACCAGTTGGGCCCAAATGTCACTTCTTTATGTACCTTTCACAGTTTACCCAAGCGATCTATTATTACCTTTTCTATTCAAAACCTCTTTATTTTTCATCTCTCTCTTAAAGTCTTCATCATGCTAAAATATATTATTTTTACAGATCTACCTCCTCCAATCCCCACTGAGTGTCTAAGGAAAAGAAGGTCTTATCCATCTTGGTATTCCTACTCCCCTCCATTGGAGTCTAATATTACCTAGCATATAGCACATGCTCAATAAGTATTCATCAATGAATGAAGTACTTTACACTTTTTAATATAAACATCTACAACTAAGGATTTAAGACAAATCCTAAAACTATACCTTATTAGAATCATAATTGGATTCCACTGCTTACGTTTTTAAAAAGGTATATATTTTTTTAGTTTTATTGTGATTTTAAGAGAATTTTCTATTTTACATGCCTGGTTGTGTTCATTATCTGTTCCATTATATTCTGTAAGCTGTTCTCTTCTTTTTTCTCTAATAAGAATTTTATGAACATCATCTTCCAGTCTATTGAAGAATCCTCCATCATGTGTTAAAGTCTGAGAAGAACTCAATTCCTGTCAAAAATGAATTGTGGTTTACTATCATTCAACAAAAAAGTGTATGCATTCAATAAGCCTAGTCAGCCCCTAGAAGGAGAAGGAAAGGAAAAGGGTAACTAAGAGACAATCAACTATTTAATTCTCCTCTACCTTCAGAGGATAAACAGCAGAGACACATTTTAAAATGTTTTCTTACTTCTTCATAATTATTGTGTTGGATATCACTTGTTTAAAAAATGTTTTATCCATATACCATACAATTCACCTATTTAATGTACATAATTCAGTGGTTTTAAATATGCTCACAGAGTTGTGCAACCACAGCCACAATTTTTTAAGTTTCATCACCCACAAAGAAACCCTGAATCTATTAGTGGTCATTCCCCATTTCCTTCTAATACTTCCCCTCTCAGTTGTCTCCTGGACAAGACTGCTTTCTGTGCATAGATTTGCCTATTCTAGACATCTGGTATAAATGAAATCATATACTGGTATATGTGGTCTTTTGTGACTGGCTTCTTTCACTTAGCAAAATGTTTTTAAGATTCATCTATTATTATAGCATGTATCACTACTTCATTCCTATTAAGTAATATCTCAATGATGGATACACTACATTTTATTTCTCCATTCATTGGTTGATGGACATTTGGGTTGTTTTCATTTTTTGCTATTATGAATAATGCTGTTATAAATATTCATGCACAAGTTTTTGAATGGACAGGTTTTCAATTCTCTTAGGTATATGCCTTGAAGTAAAATTGCTGAGACATATGGTAACCCTATGTTTAATCTTTTGAGGATTTGCCAGATAATTTTTCAAAGCATTCTCACCAACACTTATCTTTTTTTTTTATCCTCACCCAGGGATATGTTTTTATTTTTATTGATATTTAAAACATACTTTTGTTTTCAGAGAGGAAGGGAGAGGGAGAGATAGAAACATCAATGATGAGAATCATTGATGGACTGCCTCCTGCACGCCCCCTACTGGGGATCGAGCCTACAACCCCAGCATGTGCGCTTGACCAAAATTGAACCCAGGGCGACGCTGTTTTTTATTGATTTTTAGAGAGAAAGGAAATGGGGAGAAAGAGAGAGAGAAACACTGATGTGAGCGAGAAGCATCAATCGGTTGCCTCCTGTACACACCCCGACCAGGATCAAACCCTCAACCTAGGTCTGTGCCCTGACCAGGAATCAAACCCCCAACCTTTTGGTGTACAGGACAATGCTCCAACCAACTGAGCCACCCAGTCAAAGCTGTCTTTCTTTTTTACTTGATTTCAGAGAGGGATAGAAATATCAATTTGTTGTTCCACTTATTTAAGCATTCACTGGTTGATTCTGGTGTGTGCCTTGACCAGGGATTGAACCTGCAACCTTGGCCTATTAGGATAATGCTCTAACCAACTAAACTACTCGGCCACTAGAGTAGGTGTGGAGAGCTATTTCATCGTGGTTTCGAGTTGCATTTCTCTGATGCATTGTTTCAAGTGCTTAATGGACATTTGCATCTTTCTGGAGTACGTCTACTCATATTCTTTGCCCACTTTTTAATTGGGTTGCTTTTATTTTTGCTTTCTAAGAGTTCTTTATATATTCTAGATACAAGTCTCTTATCTAATATATTTAGCAAATATGTTCTCACATTCTGTGGCTTAGCAAATATGTTCTCACATTCTGTGGCTTCTCTTTTCACATTCCTGAAGGTGTCCTTTGTATCACAGAAGGTTTTAATTTTTACAAAGTCCAATTTATCCACAAAACCACTGTATAACTTAAGGTTACAAAGATTTACTCGTATATTTTCTTCTAAGATCTTTAGTTTTAGCTCTTACATTTAGGTCTGTAATCCACTTTCACTTATTTTTTGTACATGGTGTGAAGAAGGGGTCAAAATTCATTCTTTTTTCCCTTTTACTAAATTTACTAGAGGCCCAGTGCATGAAAATTCATACACTGAAGGGGGGGTCCCTCAGCCTGGCCTGCCCCCTCTTACAGTCCAGGAGCCCTTAGGGGTGGGAGGCGACCCAGCAATTAGGGGAAGGTGATGTCCCCATCACACCTCTGCTGCTGCCACTCCCACTCCTGGCAGCCCAAGCCTCGGCTGGCCCTGGGGGGCTGGGCAGCCGCCATCCGAGGTTTGCCTGTGCCTCGGGACGGCCCTGAGCGGCTGGGGGCTCCGGAGGCAGGCACATGGAGCACCCGGGCCCACCTTGTCACATGCCTGCCACCCTCGCAGGGCTGAGGGCACTGGGCGCCACTATCTTGTGGCTGTGGGCTCCTGCCATCTTTGAGGGCGGGGCATATTCCCTCCTTATTGGGTGTGGGCGTCGCCATGTTTGATAATGGGACAGTTAATTAGCATATTCCCTCCTTATTGGCTGTGGGCGCCGCCATCTTTGCAACATTGTGAGGGTCATTTAGCATATTCCCTCTTTGTTAGATAGGATTGGGTGACACTGGTTAACAAAATTATCCAGGATTCTGGTGCACAATTCTACAACACATCAACTGTACACTGTTTTGTGTGTTCACCACCCCAATAAATTCATTCTCTTTCATATGGATATGCAGCAGCATCTGTTGAGATTATTCCTTCTCCACTGAATTCTTTTGGCACCCTTATTCAAAATTAATTCAATATTAATGTAAGGATTTCTTTTCTGGAGTCTTAATTTTGTCAAACTTTATGGCTACCATTACACCACACCACACTGGCTTGATTAGTATAGTTCTGTATCGCTTAATCTTTTACAATGCATTTAAAAATAATTTTACATAAATTATATACACTAATCATAAAAAGAGAAAATTTTCTCACAATCTACTCAATTACATAAAATTATAAAATTTACATATTCTTCAAGAAAAGTAGCACTGCCTCTCCAACTTCCTGTTTTGAAGTCAGGAACTAAAGAAAATGTCACTCTCATTGGTTCCACCTATGTCCTACATTCTTGAGCTATAAAAGTCCTAATTTTATCCATTTTAATTGAATTTGTGAGCAAATGACCCAACAGTTCAATGACTCTTCATCCTTTTCTCTTCACATTATGTTAAAAAGTGTTTTAGAGAAAAAAATTATTATGTATCAGTGTTTAATACACAAAATGACATTTAAAATTTTGTACAGCACTTTCTATTTTGCAAAGAACTTACACAAACATTACTTTATTTGAATCTCATTAATGCTATAAGAGGTTCATAGAACAAGAATTATTTTCCCACAAAATAATCATGGCCTCAGGAAAGTTAAATAAACTTGCCCACGAGTCTACTAAGGCTACTGCTTGAAAAAATAATTCAGGTACATTCCAATAAGATTTCATTTTAAACAACATGTTTAAAACACTGCTGAGCTTCTATGGAAGGAATAGCATGATGATGGCAACTAATTAGCCGCTGGATTTCACTTCCTTAAAAGAGTGCAGTACCACAAAATAGAAACAAAGGCCTGGTTACATTGACAGACAAACGGCTGTCAGAGGGGAAGGGCTTTGGGGGCTGAATGAAAAAAACATGAAGGGATTAAGCGCACACACACACACACATACACACCCCACAGATTTTAAAACTTAATATCTAGCCAATTCAATTTAACTCAAATTATGAACACTTATTATATGCCACGCATATAATGTAAAAGACAGTATAATGGTGGTTCTGTTAGTATAGCCCTATAGATCTCTGGAACATAATTGAGAGTCTAGACATAAGCCTTCTCATTTATGGTGACTATCAACAATAAAAAATATTTTTTTAAAAGAAAAATTACCTGGAAACCAATGAAAATGAATGCACAATAACCCCAAATCAATGAGACACAGAGAAAGCAGTCCTGAGAGGGAAGTTCACAGCATTGCAGAAGCAAGAAAAATCTCAAATAAACCATTCTAACCCAACACCTAAAAGAGCTAAAAAAAAAAAACCAAACCAATAAACAAAGCCCAGAATAAGTAAAAAGGAAGGAAATAATAAAGATCAGAGCAGAAAGAAATGATACAGAAACTAAAAAATAAAACAATACAAAAGATCAATGAAACCAAGAGCTGGTTTTTTAAAAAGATAAACAAGTCTGGCCAGTGTGCTTCAGTGATTGAGTGTCGACCCATGAACCAAATGGTTCAATGCCCGGTCAGGGCACAGGCTAGAGTTGTGGACTCAATCCCCAGTAGTAGGCATCCAGGAGGCAGGTGATCAATGATTCTCTCTCATCATTGATGTTTCTATCCCTCTCTCTTTGAAATCAATAAAAACATACTTTTAAAAAAGATAAAAAAGATCGATGAACCTTTGACCAGACTCCTCAACAAAGGAAGAGGAGATTCCAAAATGATGGCAGAATAAGTGGATGCTACACTGACGAACTCCCAGAACCAAAGTGAAATTACAACTAAAATACTGAAAAAACTGTCCTGAATAATCAACTGAAGACTAGCTGGAGATTCCTGATAGCCAAAGACAGAAAGTAGAGCCACACAGAGATAGGTAGGAGGTGCTGAGGCACGAAAGGGCTGGCTGGGCTCCTACAGGCAGCAGCTTAAGTTCCTGAAGGGTATCTCAGCTGTGGGGGGTTCCCACTGAGAACTCTGGAGTCTAAACCCCAGGCTGGGCTCCCCAGCTCAGAGAACCAGAACTGAGAAAGGTGCCCACGTAACATCTGGCTGTGAATAGCAGCAGGGCTGCTCTCTGCCCGGGAAAGAGAGCTGGAAAGTCAGGTACCCTCTAAAAGGGCCAACTCACAAAATTTCACATGCAGCCACTCATCTTGGGCTCTGACAGAATGGACTAGTGCTGTGTGAACAGAAGTCAGGGTGGGGGCTCTGGGATTAGACCTCTGAAGGTAGTCACCTGAATTTCCTGTGCTGAGTCATTGCCTCATGTTGCAGAGGGCATCTGTCTCTGGTGAACCTTTACTATCCAGGTGGTTTTTGCCTGGGGGAAAATCAATTGCCCCACCCTATTGAAAAATGCCTTACCCCCTGCTAGGTAAAGCAGACCTTGGTGCA